TCTGTCTATCTTCATTCATTCACATCATATTTCGATCTTCATTTCGTTTTCGAAACAGACCAATTACAATGAAAGCTGCTCTTGCTGTTATCTTCTTTGCCTGCATTGCTGGCTCCATGGCTACCAATCCTGCTCAAGTTTTGGGCGAAATGGTTGCACAAGGTCAAAGCCTTATTAACACAATCGTCAATCAAGTTAAACAACAAGCTCTTGGTCTTGCACAACAAGTTCTTGGTCAACTCTCATCAGTTGTTAGTTCACTTGCTGGCCGATCTAACCCTGCTTTGAACATTCAATCACTCATTAATGCAGCCCTCGGCACATTAACAGGTGTTTTGAACAATGCCGCTGCACAAGCTCTTGGTCAACTTAACGGTCTTCTCAGCAATGTCTCCGGTCTCTTCGGTGGTGGTATGTATACCCTCTTTTTTTTAAATTTCATTTCGAAAATATAAACTATGATGTTTCATTAATAGGTCGTGGAATTGACCTTGGCAACATATTTAGCGAGTTCCTCCAGAGTATTCAAGGAGCAGCTACTGGACTTGGTCAACATTTACTTAACCAAGGTTTAGCTGCTGTTCTTGGTGGCCTCGGTGGAGCACGTGCCTTTAATGACATCTTCGCGAGTAAGTAGACATATAGATATCAGCAGTAAAAGAAACATTTTTGTTTTAAATTGTAGGTCTCTCACAACAATTCGCTAACATCGTTGGAACAGCTCAAGCTGCTATCTCAGGTGTTGTAGGCAATATTGTTCAAGTTGGTTCAGGCCTTCTTGATGCCTCAAAACCACACTGGGAACAACTTCAAGAACAACTTGTTGGTCATGGTCTCAATGTTCTTGGTTCACTCTCGGAAACCATCAACAACCTTCATGGTTCAATCACCGGTGGTCGTTAAGCGTTTAGTGGGATGTAGCCCCTTATAATTCATTGATATAATAAAAATTCGTGTGTGACAAACCACGAGAAAGAAAAGATTATTTTTTAATTGATGCGCTGTTGAATCTTCATAATGAGTTATCACTAGCAGCTTTAAAAGGAGCCTTTCTTCTATTTTATATTAAGGAGAACAAAACATAATTTGAATCAAAAATTCAAACTTCTCTCCATCTCATGATGATGTAGGTGAAAGTGTCATAGATTCATACTACAAGTTTATCGTAGATAAAAGTAATATTTCGTGAGAAAAATGAATGCATGTTTGATAGAAATTACTGTGTGAGTGTTAATGCTTTGTAAATACATCAATGAATCTGTATGAAGAATCCAGAATACTCAGCATATAGAACAAGAAATAGTGTTCGGTATATAATACAATTTCAATGGATATGATAATATCACATTGATTTTTCTCATTATTTGTGCCACATAAGTCTATATTTTATAGATGAGAACTATGACTCATGGTTATCAGTGTCGAGAATACACCGATGTGCTCATTGCTATATATTAAGAAAATATAAGCTTGAGATCATATATTGATAATGTTTTTTTTTTGCAACAGATAATTACTTTTATTGTTATAATATGTAGTAGTAAAAAATAATCCGAATAAGTTGTTCTTAGCTGTTGATTACTTTCTTGTGAAAACATATTGTCAAGTGAATAGAAACTACTTGAATCAACATAATATATTTAAAACAATATTCGAATCATTTCATAAACACGTTATATTAAATTTTTAAGTAGTCATCGGATAGTTAAATAGAATAGATGTTATGATGAAATCTTATTGTGATATGTGAAATTCTTTCATTTAATGGAAATAAGATACGTTATAAATATGGCAGTGATTTAAGTCATTAATAAAATAGATGAAAAGATCAGTACTTAAAAAGTTGTGTGTGTTAGTTCGAACAGATTTTCATTTCATTCACACTCGCATACTCTTATGATCATCGTGCTCAACTTTAGTTTTATAAACAATAATTTTTTTTTTATTGCCTGCATGATATAGCAGGTATCCAGGGTTGACCATAAGTTCTGGTCCTGATGTTTAAAATTTTATAAAATAGTGAATATCGAATGTTTTATTGCATGAATACAAAGTAGAATGCCTCGTCTACAATAATATATATAACAACCCTATCTTGGATTTAATTCTAATATTCTTTCAGATAAAGTGTTGATGAGAAAAAACGCTCACACTGACACTCACACACTCTCAGCGCAAGTTGTCACAGGCATTAATCAAACAATTATTATCCGAAAAGATATGTAAAATTTAGAGCTATGACATAGGCAAACATAATCTCTATCAATGGAGTCGATAAGAATTTTCTTAAAATTCATATAATTCACCGTCAAAATTGTGAAATTCCGGAACTCCGATGTCTTGAACATTCATTTCCAATTGATACTTCTGTTGCATCAATATTAATGAATATACTCTTGTTAACCCAGTATTTTGATTCTTTCGTTTTTTTTTGGACAAGCTCTTTCGTTTCCATTTATTTCATTATTTTCTTCCCTAATTTTTTCATCTGTTACGTAACTCTCATATTGAACAACTTGTAACACGTCCATCTTTTTTAATCGTCGTTTTGACTTTTGATTACTAAAGTACATATTAGTTTATTAATTATCATATAGGTAATTTGTTGCATATCATTTTCAAATACAACAATTAAAGTTTTCAATAATGACTAATTTTATAAATATAAGAAAATATCGAAACTTCTTGATTTATTAATTTAATGACATGTTCTTCACAGGAAACAAATATAAAAAAGTATATGAACTTGTACGATTTTATCGTTATTATCTCAACGTATAGTGGATACTATTAATCAAAAATAAAATAGAACAATGAAAAGTACTTGACAATGAAAATAACACAGAAAAAAGAAAATATACTAACTATAGGTGGATTCAGGACAATGTTTTCTGTCCTATCCTGTCTTGCACCCAGCTCTGATACCTACATGTATGTCGTACATAGTATTTATCCTACATCGTACAAGGAAACTAAGACGAGGAGAAAAAAAAGTAAATCGTACTATAATGTATCTCAGTTTCTCTACTTAAGAGGGCCCCGTTAGAAAATCAGATTTTTCAAAAAAATATCGCAGTTGAGTTTTTATCACAAAAAGATGCAGTGAAGCTTCCTGTTTCAGAATATGTATGGCTTTCTGGAAAATGACTAGGTTTTCAAAGACTTATCACATGAAACTTTGACTCTACTACCATACTTTCGGGGAAATTTTCATGGTTTTTATAGTTTTTCAGTTTTCATTTGCATTATCATTGAATAGAACATTTTTATATTAACAAGCATGTCAGACGGCGTTAGCTACCTTCATCTATTACTTACTTTAAAACGATCCATTGGAATATATTGAAAATATACCATTGTAATATGATTTGTTCTGGATTTGAATGAAAAAATCCATTGCTAAAACTTCATTAGCGTTTTTCTCAAGACACGGTTTCTAGACAGGAAAATTGAAATAACTCCCTCTCGGCTTGGGATATCACCAATGGTTCTTTGTTTTTCTTTTAAAGGTCTGTGTCAGAGTTAACTTTTCATCGGACGAATTTTTGATACGTGATTCCTGAACTAAGAAAAGTGAGATTTACTATTGTGGAATGCCATTTTTTATGCTTATTTTGAACACCATGTCCATTAAAATGCTCATAAAAAATGAATGGAAGAAAGTTTCAAAATTCCGGTCGATAAAATGTTGCTCATAGAGGCTAGCTTCAGTTTAAAACCAGCCCGAGCTCTGCACCCTTGATAACAACGGAGTTATTTAGATTCTCCTGGAAGGTAGAAAAACAAGCCGGCAGTTCGGTTTAGTAGGGTATATCAGGCTGAAATTTTTACCACAAGCATTTCTCACTAGGACCAATCATTTCTGGAAATTTCAGCTGAAACTGTCCATTCTAACTGGTAAATCAAAGATTGAGGGACCCATCAATCTTTGATTTAATTGACTGTTAGTTCATTTTATTTACTGATCTTTTAGTTTATTAAAAAACTTGATTCATTACTAACTGATTCTATGAGTAATATACTGATTTTATTGTTATTTAACTTACCGATCCTTTCATTTATTTTATTGACTAAACATTTTATTCCCAATAACTATTCATAATAGTTATTCTTTTACTTTACATATTCAAGCGATTTCTCTTTTATAAGTACTCTTGTCAATGTACTGATATTTCATCATGACCTGAACATATTCATAAAGTAACAATGTCAACAATGTTTTTAAAACTTTAACATTTCTTGAATTTCGAAGAAAAAATGTAAATATATGTATATTTTTTAAAAGAGCGAACAGCAACGTTGTCACATCATTTTCCAATATTTAGAACAAAAAAGAAAAAAAGAAAAAAAAGAATTTGACTAAACAACATACATCATTGGATACAGTAGTATAACTTTGATTATGTTATATATATATAGGTGTAAATCTTCTTTTTCTGTTAATAATGAAGGAATTTTTGTTTTGACAGAACAATTTAATAAACTAAACTACATTCAAAAACAAATCAAATTTCCGATCTGTATTCAAGTTTAAATCCTTAAAAACATTTTTTTGTTATGTAGTACTTAAGTAATAAAGAAAATTCTCTTCAGTAAAATAATAGATTTTTTCTTATTTTGTTACTTAATATCACCTCAGTAATTTTGCTTATGCCGAAATAGGTTTTGAAGTTTAATAACTGTAACATAAAAAGATATTGATTGTTTTATCAATCCAACTTTTATTTTTACTTTGTTGTATACTATCAATTAAAACTCTAGAAAACAAAAACAAAAACAAGGAATTATCTATTAAGATTCAACAAATCCACATATAAATCAACTTTTGAGCACGTTAGAAAAAGGTTCGTCATATACAGTATTGAAATTGTTTGAATTAATACTGTTATAGAGAAAAAAAACATTTCGTCCGTATTTACCTTTATTTAGGCATCATTTGAATACCAAAAAAAAAAACTGAGAATCCTGTTAGCATCTGTTTTTTTTTCTCGGCAACGAAAAACAAGTATTAGATTAGATTAGAATACTATGTAAATATTTGATAATAGTACAATAAAAAACCTACCTAAAAGCTGGATGAAACGCCCATTCTAATCAGCAAATAATCAACAAATGACAAAGTTCTCATTATGCGATTCTTGCTTTCATTGAACGACATTGATATGCTCGGGAAAAAAAGTATATAAAGAGAAGCATATTTCTGTCTATCTTCATTCATTCACATCATATTTCGATCTTCATTTCGT